AGAAATATTTTAGTTCTGTAATTGCAGTGAAAGAGCAATGAAAATTTAATAAAAATTTAAAATGTAATTAGATTTAGGAAATCAAAATTAGGATTGAAATAATAAATTCCTTACGTCATAATCGGCCATGACATTTCTTGCATTCGATTGTAATATTTCATTTAGGAAGCACTGGTCGCGCTGCTGGATTGGGTTGAAAATAAAATTCTAGCAAGTGATATTTATGATGATTGCGACGATGTTGTGGAGTCGAAAGGTCTGGAAAGTGACAAAAACGAAGGAACAGCTTTGATCGCTGCCCTTGCAAAGGTTGGTGCACCGCATGAGAAAATTTCGTGCTATACTTGATTGTCGATGTATCCTCAAACTTGTTCTAGTTTTGTAAGTTAAAATAAACAATGCTCCAGTTTTGTAGTATCGCAACTGAAAATTAACAATGCTCCAGTTTTGAAGTATCGCATTTCATGTGAAAATTCGAATAATACGGGATCAGGACAAGTTTTGCTTTAATTACAAAATCAGAGCAAAACTTGCCCTGATTCCGTACTATTTGAATTTCCACATGAAATACGATACTACAAAACTGGAGCATTGTTTATTTTCAGTTATCTGTCAGATCTACTTCTAAAGCTTTGTTTTTTGATAATTTTGTTTTTGATTTCTGTCACTTGCATCTCCATGTTAAATTCGCGACTGTGTGGCAGCTTTTGAATGGCACTACAATCTGTAAATTAGCAAGGTTGGCAAAATTTTGCAGGCTTCCAGAGAAAGCGAAAAAGCTATTAAAAAACTACGTAAAACACCCTGTAAATTGATTTGATCGGCCCACATCGATTTTGATGAACTGCAAGATTTCCAAACAATCTATGGTGCTTCTTTGCACTTTTTCACTTTCTGCGCTTTTTTATTATTTTCTCTTCCAGCTTAGCTACCGAATTTCTCTTTGCTGGATCGGATTTTACAATGTTGGACCTTGGCGCCCCATGGTACAGTTCTGCTTCTCTCCGACTAAATTTATCACTTATCTCAGATATTACTTAGTCGCACAATGAGTTTTACTTCATTTGCTCGATGTGTCATCAAATAGTGGGCATGCGTTGGAGCGTGTTTACTGCGAATTTTGTGGTTTAGGCCATTGCTGAAATTGATGTGAACTCATGTGAACCAGTTGCAAGTACTCAAAATGGCTCGTTCAGTGAAGCTTGTAACAGCAGTCAGAACAGTTCAGGACCACACGATTCCGGTTTCTACAGCGCATCCGATGCAGAAACTACTTCATCCCTAAATCATTCATTCGGAAGTAGTGGTATGTTTCTTGCAGTTTCTCTCCTTTACGCAACCTGAGATGTGCAGTTGCCAGTGTTACTGAATTGTAAAGCAAGCAAAAAACAAACGGTGTGTGCCTGTCTTGTTCCTGAACCCTTACACATCATTCGTCGCACTACGTATATGCAGATCTTTAAGAAAGTGGTTAAAATGCTTGTTTATTTTGCCCTACGGAAAATGCCTTGAGACGTCAGTAAACCGTACAACTTATGCTCTTTCTAGTAAATTTTGATTTCTGCTGCAGATAGCGTCCAGCACCGGTTTTCAGGGTTCAATTTTTTATGTTATGCACTGAGCTCCTGCTGCGCTGCATTTATTTGAGAACTTTTTCTTCTACTAAACCTAAATAATAAAACTTTTTACACTGCTGTTATGCCAGCCCTCTTTTAAACTCGTTTGCGTATTATATCATGGACCAGGTCATAATAAGTTGGATGTGAAAAGAGCTGTCGCTTTGCGTCAGTCTGTTTTCAACAAAAAACACTATAAGAGTTCATAGCCCATTAGTTCACGTATTCGTCAATGTTTATATGTTCTCCAGTAAAGTCGAAATCCAATAATTTTATATCGAATTTAGAATCTGAAAGAAACTGCAGACCTTTTCGCTTTTCACCTATTCTTTATGTGTTTGAACTTTTCAAGAAAGCGCTAATGTTAGCTCAACGGATCAAAGTTTGGATGAATTGTTGGCGCAGTTAAATCTCCGTCAAGTCGCGAAATTCGAGCCCGTTTTCCCGCAAGTGGAAAATGATGACAGCGAAGATGATGACGCCGACACTGTACACGAAAAAAGGTCACTTTAAAAAACAACTCTAAAAGTGGCAAGGAATATAGAAGACTTGCGTGTATTTTGGCTGTTGGGGTCAACTGAAAGAATTAACTGGAGTGAATCTTTTGCATGAAAATCAATCAAAAATTTAGTTCTGATTTTGATAGGATACTAGGGTCTCTGTTCCTAGAATACAGCGGCAGCAACATGCTCCAGATATATTTGTTCTGGGCCATCTTTTCACGACCATCTGCCTTTAGTATATTTCTTTGACCACACCTACACTTTCGAAAGTCATTGGGATGCTTGTTTTATTTTCCGTAACTGTCGGGTGAGTTGGCCCGCAAAAAAGGAGATAATTGCGTCTCACCAAAAAAAAAAACAG